CTGGAGCAGTGGGAGTGTTAGTGCAGGCTGCTTGCCAGTTTTGTTGTGTAGCTGTGTTCAGGCTTGGCCTAGGCACTGGAATGGTTAAGTCACCAGCATGCTCCATTATAATTATTCCAAATAAAGCTGCATCTGCATATGATCAAAGGTAGAGAAATTCTGAAAGTTCCTAGAAAAGAAGGGCTCAGGTATTGCCATGCCACCTGTCTCTGCTTCCTCTTCCATGTGTCCAAGGCTTGCCAAAGCAAATAAGCTAGACTGCAATAAGCATTGCATGGTGCTGTCTGGCTCCTCTGCTGTACTGAGTTCCCTTCTGTAACACCTTCTACTGCCTCCAACAGGGTATGAAGGTCATTCGGAAAAGCAAGCTTCACCGTGATCGGAGGAGAGAGCAAAAAGGTCTTTAAATTCCTTGGCCCCAGGTACCGTGGCTTGCAAACATACAGAACATCTGCTGGGGTCAGGTGGACAGAAGCACTAGAGGAGAGGGAAGCAGTTATGAAACAAGTCCCGGGTATTTTTTTGTGAATATTGGCATTGTTGTAGCATCACAGCATAGCCCTTACAACTACATAAAGTAGCATCTCATTGTGTTAATGGTAACTAACTAACTGAGCAGTTTGGCCTCCACAGCCCTTAATGCTTTGTCAAAGCTAGCTCCTGTGTCTCAGCTTGTGTAGACTAGTTATTGCCTGGGGAACTTCAGCTTCTCTTGTGGGTTTGGAAGCCTCCTTGCTTATCCTGTTCATAAAATGCTGCAGTGTGGGCTACCAAGAGCTGGTAACGCAAAGCTTATAGTGGCTCTAAGATGAGTGGATTCAAAATACACTGGAGTTATTTTAAGACTAATCCTGTAACTACTGCCGAGGCTGTACCACGGCCCCACCTGTGGACGGAGTGGGAGAGAGTTATTTATTCCATTTATTAACGTGCTCACTAACTGCACTTTCTCTCCCAGCCATCAGTGAGTGACTGTGACAGCCTGGCAATGCAATAAAGCACGCTGCGTAGGGCCACTGCTGCGCCTGGGCTCTTCTGGGCTGCCCCGGCCCCTCCTCAGGGCGCTGCCCGAGTAAGACCCTGGGGGAGTGGTACCGGGCGGACAGGAGCAGCACAGGGCGGCGGCGGTACTCGCGG